GAGTAAAAAAATAAAATTTTAAAATTGATATTTTTTCCAAAAAAAAATTTATTTTGAAATTAGAGGAGAGTTTTGGAAAATGTTTTCCTTAATTTTTTAAGGGAAGTCATTTTCCTTAATTTTGAGGAAAATGAGTTGATTTGGAAAACATTTTCCAAAACTTTTGCCCCAACCAAACATGAGAAAATTGAAAAACATTTTCCTTCATACCAAACACACTCTTAGTCTCATTTGTTTTCTAATGTATTCAAATGACGTGAAGTAAAACACAATTATTCTCGAATAATTTTACGATCAATTGAACTAATTAGTGTTGGAACAACAAATGTATTTTCTATCAATACCCCTCACAAAATTTGATTTCATAACGATCAACAGTGTTTAAAATAAACAAATTATGGACGGTTCAATGATATAATAGTAAAATAGCATTGCTGAGGTACCTAATTAAAACAAATACAATAATAGCTCATCAATTATATTTTTAAAAGGTTTTTGTTTGACAATATTATAACTCACAAAAAAAGATGTATAGCTTTAACTGTGTGTATAAAAGTGTCTTCGAAATTATTTCATTCAATATGTATATATTCTCTATCAAAACACAAACCTAACAAAAATTATTTTAATGTCGTTATATGTCAATTTTAAATGAATTATATAGATAAATTATTTTTAAAATTTGGTGACATATTTAAATAATTTAAATACTTGTTTTTGTGGACTTCAATGACAACGACGTGTTATTTTATTCAACTTTTGGATAATAATTTGGAGGATTGCGTGTTATATACAATTTGGTTGTCAAATGTGCTTTGAAATATTCTTTAAGTTCTATCCTGATATACTATAGTTGTTAGGGCTATTATGTATATCTTCAAAATTATTTTCATGTCATTTTTATAAGAAAAAATTGTATAAATAAATAATTCAAATTAAATGTTATAAATACAATTTGATTTAATTATATTTCATAGTAAATTGTTGCTATGTTGTCTCTTTACTGACGAATTTGGCTCGGCATTCTCATTCTCTCTGAACAGTTTTGATTGCCTTTTATGTTTTTATACAAATATAAATGTATAAAATGTGTTTGTGTTCGTATGAAATGAGTGAAAATTGTATGCATATATATATATTCGTTCTCTTCTCCTAGATCTCTCTCACTTTATACAAACACAAATATATATTATGTTTATGTTTGTATAAAGCGAGAGAAAATTGTATATATAAATATAAATGCATATATTTTTTATCCATACACTTATAATTATACAAATACGATATTCTTCTGTGCAATTTCTTTTGTCTTTCTCTTTTTCTCGCTTTATACAATCACAGATTATACATTAATTATAATTTTTAAAATATCAATATGATGAAAAGTTGCATCTTAAAATGTTAGTCAAAGTTCTTAATATTGTATTTTGTTCTTTTACAATTCCAAGGTGTATTGAAAATAACTTTGAATGGCAAAAATTATAGTTTTTTTTACCAAATTATTGATTATTTAAAAAGAATTTTTTTATTTGATTAACTAAATTTAAATATACATCCAATTTACTATATGACATAACAAGTGATTTCAAACTACTATAAGAACATAAAACTCTTATAGTAAAAAAAATTAAGACAAGTGTTGAAAACATTTCTAAAGTCAACGAAAATTCAGGGATGTATTTGACTCATACTATATTGAGTTGAGTATTTAAGTTGGTTAATAAATTTAAATGGTGTTTTTAAGGTTATCAATAATTTAATGATAAAATTGATAAATCACACCAAATTTTAGAGTGCTTGACTGTTTTCAATATTTCTCTCGTTACAATTTATCTCTAAAATGTCTCTTTCATTATGTTTTTAATTCAAATATATTTTCTAATTACTATAAAAGTTCAAAATTATCGTTCTTACATATAATTATTCAAAAAATAATAATAATATAATTTTAACTTTAAATTATTTAAAATAAGATAGTTAAAGAAAAAAAAAGGTTTTCGCTATCAAAATTTTTCTTTATAAAAATATCTAAGAAGAACGAGATCATCTATAAAGTTATGAAATGACTTTTTATATTTTATATATAACCATGGATGATTATTGATAAGGCTATACTAATTAAGCCATCGACTAATGAAACAGATAAACGATATAGATAAAACTATTTATTTATGATTGTATTTAACTTGAAAGGCCAAGAAGCAAAATAATTTCAATTGGAAAGTGTAGCAACAAAAATCCAAAAATGGAAAACAACACACATTATCAACAACTTACTAGATGAACGAAAAATATAGAAAATATGTGTATCAATAAAATATTTAATAACAAGAAGAAGGAAAAAAATAATTATTTATATATATATATATATACTCTCTAGGGTCTTTACGGTTTGAATAAAAATTGATTCAAATTGAAAAATTGAATCAAATCGATTAACTAAACAGATTTTTATTTGGATTAAGTGTTGTTTGGTTTTAGATTTTTAAAAATCCATAGTATATGGGTTGATTATGGTTTTGTTCGAAAAAAAATGAATAAATAATCAAATCAAACCGACAAATTATATACGTATATTTATCAATATACATACATAATATATTGTTTTTATAAACAATTTTAAAGATCTTACGTGTGTTTTCATCAAAATTTATTTTTAGTTTATGAAAGAAAAAATGTCCAATGTGAGAATATTTATCTTATTGTACATGAGTGTGTCTATGACAAATCTTTATGAGATTTAAAATATCACTTTCTCTTTCTTCTACGCAAAAATAATGAATTTTGAAGCTTTAGTAAGAGTAAATTCAATGATTGAAAATTCTATAATATCAGTTATTCTAACTATTTTCGTTTTAAATCACTTTTTTCATGTTTTGAATAAATTGTTTATTTCAATTTTGTCTATCGTTAATAATCGAATAAACAAAACAAAACCGACAACAACCAAATCAATAAATATATACTATATTTGATTTGGTTTAATTTGATTTTGATAATCTTAAAACCTGCTAAGTTGATTTGGTTTTGACCAATAATTGATCCAAATTAACCTGTGAACACCCCTACTCTCTCTTTATATGTTTTAAAAAAGTTATTAATTGTTGAATACTAATATTTATTGAATAACAAATTAAATCGATATAGAAGCGTAAATTTTTTCATACGAGACACATATTATTGAATGATTATTTTTAGTATAAATAAACCTAATGAAAACTTAAACTCCATTACCCTCTATGTTCCCACCATATTTCCTATGCCCCATAAATCACATTTAGATTTGAGTTTGATTCTATTCTATTTATAATTTCACTTTGAACTAAATGATATATATTGGTAGAGTGTGGTTTCCTCTTTACCCAACCTCATGTATCTCAAAATCAAATCATTCGAAAACTTCAATATAGAGATTGATCATCAGTTAGAATTTCTTTTTAAAAATGGCCCCGCTAATTTTTTAGGACCTAAGGCACTTGCTTTAGTGACTTGACTTTCTCGCAGGACAGTATATAGTAACAAAATAATTTTATTAGAGGTTCAATTTATCTATACATATTCAATGATATATAATAGCAAAATATATATTTAGAACAATTTTATTAGAGATCAATTTATCTGTACACATTCAAAAATTGTGTGTTTGTGATATCTTATACATAACA